AACACTTAAAACACTCACATAAATGCACAGAGGAACAAAGTACGAAAAAACAAGCAAACTCACAAACAACACACAAGCTTTACAGTACAAAGGCCAAACCTTTCTTTCTCAGCAAAGTATAAGGAAACTCAGTCTTGAGTTTACTTACAAAAACGTGCCCAACTCTTTTGGTTGCACTACAGACCCATACATGCCTATTTATAACATTCTAGGTGGCGGTTACAAGCCCAACCGCCTAGGCAACTGCAAACAATTCAAATCCACCCATAAATTCTGCTGAGAATGGCTGACCACCTTCAGCCACTCCTTCCATTGTTGATCATGGCAGAGGCAGTTGCAACTGGTTGTTGACTCAGTCAGCAACTGCCTGTAACTTCTCTGTATGTTGTGTGTACATGATAGAGACTGCCACATGCTATGCACCTGCCAATAACTACACTGAACTGTCACCATCTGCAGGGCACATACCCAACGTCCTCACTTGTTGTGCATGTGCCTTTCTCATGAGCCCTTAACATTTGATTGTATTTCTTTCGTGCCAAGCCATGGCCCAGCTCATGGCTTAGTCCTCCAAGCTAGCATTGCCCCACAATTAAAGCCACCTGGCTATCTTGCTGGAATGTTGACTTGTGCCCATGTGCATAGACTACCTCCCTCAGCCATGCATGGGACTTCTGCCAATTTGGCTAAGACATGGGCACCTTTGGGCGAGATTGTTCTATGCCAATGCCGCCAACAAGCTAAGGGGGTAACAAGCCACCCCTACCAGAAGAGCTCGACGTCCTCGTCGAAAGGTTGTCCTAATACTTCTTCATCTGTTTCTCGAATTGCCAAAGATTCACATCTCTTTCCAACTTGCGTCTACCTTGGAACCACCTTTCCAATGCACCAACAAATCAATCCTGTGATTCTTCTTACTCTAACCCATGGTCTAGTGGGACAGAATCTTATCGACTTCTCTGTTAAACTATTTCCTGATTATAGGTGGAGCCCTCATGGCTTGTTTCCTTCATGTATTTAGCAAATCTTCTTGAAAAGGCTTCAGAAAACTCACATGAAAAGTTGGATGAATTTTCAATCGAGCAGGCAGCTTCAAGCGGTAGGCAACTTTCCTGACCTTCTTCATCACTTTGAAAGGGCCATCGTACTTAGGAACAAGTCCACGGTGTAGTACCTTGCTGTTGATCCTCTTCCATATTGCAGGAGTCAATTTTAGCAAGACAAGATCACCAACCTAAAATTCCAGTTGTCTGCGGCCATGATCAACATACTTCTTCATTCGACGGGTAGCTTTGGCCAAGCTGTCCTTTGCCTCATCAAGCAGCTCCTACTTGGAATGGGCAAAATGATAAGTAGCAGGACATTTTCCTATGGTTCTGTGTTTCACCACTTCCTGAGGAGTAAGTGGTTGTTGTCCCATAGCCAACTCATTGAGACTCATTTCTATTTGTTGAAGATCTATGAAAGTTGTAGCAAAATTGGGCAGTGTCCACAAGCTCAACCCAATTTTTTTGACTTGTAGTGACATAGTGTCACATGTAGTCCTCCTGTAAGGCATTGATCTTCTCAATCTGTCTATCAATCTAGGGATGACTTGTTGTAGAGAACTTCAACTCAGAACCCATGAGATTGAACAACACAGTCTAGTGAACCTGGTGACATTATCACTGACTATATCTTCTGGCAATCTGAAGTACTTCACCACGTACTTGTAAAACAGCTTTGTAGCAACATCCGCAGGGCAAACATGAGGTGTAGGAATGAACACTACATACTTGGAGAAACGATCGACCACCACCATGATCGAACGCATGCCATCAACCTTTGCCAAGTTGCATATGAAATCCATCGAGGCTGACTACCACGGTCTATCGGGAATGGGTAGTGGTTGAAACAAGTCTGCTGCCTTCTTCTTCTCAACCTTTTCAAGTTGTCACACGAGACAAGTTCTAACATAGGCCTCAACATCATCTTCCATCTTGGGCCAGTAATAGGAGCGAGCCAACAATGCAAACATCTTTCAACTCTGGGATGTCCAGCCCACTGGGAGTCGTGTGTCTCACGTAGCAACTCCAATCTTAGTTCCCATCCAATAGGAACATAGAGTCTAGCACCTTGAGCATAGAGCAAATCATCATCGATCCAGTATCTACGCACCAGACTCTCACCAACCTGCTGTTTCAATTTGCCATAAGCAATATTAGTCTAGGCGTGCTCTCTGACTCTTTCAAGGAAGTCAGTCTGCACACTGGATAGTGCAGCAACATAGTCCTGGACCTCCTTCCTACTCAATGCATCAGCAGCCTGATTTTGCCTCCTAGGTCTGTGCACCCACACAAAATCAAACTCAGCAAGGAATTCTTGTCATCGGACCTGCTTTGGGGTTAACTTCTTCTAGGACTTGAAATAAGTGTTCGCCACATTGTTTGTTACAACAGTGAACTTCATTCCCAGCAAGTAATTCCTCTAGATTTCGAGGCAGTGCACCACAACAATCATTTCCTTCTCGTGTTCTAAGTATCGTTGCTCAGCTTTTGGTTTTCGAAGGCAACAAGGTGTCCCTCCTGAAAAAGGACTCAGCCAATGGCATGATCAGACGCATCTATGTGCACTTCAAATGGTAGATCGAAGTCCACCAGTCTCAGCACAGGTGCAGAAGATACTACATGCTTCAGCTTCTCAAAAGCTGTCTGACAGGCACCATTCCAGTCCCACTTTTGGTTTTTCTTCAGCAAGTCAGTCAGGACATTGCAATTCTTAGAATATCCCTCGATGAACTTGCGATAGTAGTTGGCTAGGCCAAGGAACGATCGCGGTTCAGACACCTTGGTTGGTGCAGGCCAATCAACAATTGACTTCATCTTATTCTCATTCATCCGAATCTGGCCTTTGCTAATCTAGTGTCCTAAGAACACACTTTTTGGTGACATAATTCACATTTCTCCTTCTTGACATACAGTTGGTGCTCTCTAATCTATGAGAACACCGACCTCAAATGATTTATGTGATCCTCCAACATCTTACTATAAATCACAATATCGTCTAAGTAAACAACTACAAAGACATCGTTGTACTCATAAAAAACATCATTCATTAAATTGAAGAAAGTTACCGAGGCTTTGGTGAGCCCCAACGGCATTACAAGAAACTCAAAAGACCTATAGCGCGTCACATACGCAGTCTTAAACTCATCGCCCTCTGCAATTCTCACTAGGGGTGTCAATCGTGGCGGGTTAAACGGTTACGTGTCGAGTTAAACGGGTGATGGATGAAAAATATATAAATTCATACATGACACGTTTAATAAACAGGTAAAAAATCTCAATACAAATACAACTCGTGTAATAAACGGATAATACGACACGACATGTTTAACCCGTTTAATTTTAAAAAAAATATATCAACAAATTTTAATACTCCACTTTTTTTTACTGTCAATTGTACTTACCTCAAAAAGAGGAATTTTTACTCAAATTTCATAAAAATAAAACTTGAAGGCTTCAAAAAAAAAAAAAAAAGATCATTGTCTTTTATAGGCAACTCAGCCCTCCCTATCTCCCCTCATTTTCCAATGTGGGATAATAACAAAAGGCATTGGTTTGTCTTTGTCTTTGAAGTGCTCCAAATCTCTTCTTTTTTGTCTTTGAACTACTAATTTAGTTCTTTTTTTCTTGTTAATTTTTTAAAATAATTATTAATTTATTATTATATTAATTTTATTTAAACGGGTAAACGTGTGATAAACGGTTTGACAAGTCTCATCCAAACATGACCTATTTATTAAACGTGCTAGGTGTGTCAACCCGTTTATCACCCAAATCTGTTAAGATATCACCCAAACCCACTTAATTCGTGTCGGTTAATCGTGTCGTGTCGAATTTTGACAGCCCTAATCCTCACTTGCCAGTACTCAGTCCTAAGATCTAGCTTCGTGTAGAAGGTTGTCTTGGACAGTTTGTTGAACAAATCAGGAACATTGAGAACAGGATACTTGTTCTTAATTGTTACCTTGTTCCAGGCTCGATAGTCAATGCACATACACAACAAACCATCTTGCTTTTTCTAGTACAGAACAGGGGTTTCATATGGCGCCTTGGATGGCTTCATACTACCAGAATCTAGCAGTTCATTCAACTGCTTCCTTAATTCTGCCAATTCCATCAGCGACATCCAGTAAGGGGCACGGGCTGGAGGCTTAGCACCAGGCTCCAACTCGATCTTGTGGTCAATTGCTTGTCTGGGCGAAAGGCTTTTGGGGTGTTCTGGGGGTATAACATCAGCAAATTCTCCCAATACATCTGCCTCTGCATCAGGTACTTCAACCAGTACATCTAGTTTCATCTCCACCAAAACTGCGAGGTATGTCATCTCGCCCTTCTTCAGCCCAACTTTCACTTGCATAGTGGACAACATCTTCATCTTCTGCTTTCCTTCTTTCTTGTTTTGGTCTACCATGACTGTAGGCGCAAAGCAGGGTGCTTTATCTTCCGTGATCAGCACTCCATTCAATTGTGGCATCAATATCACCTTCGCTTTGATAAAGAATTCATTCCCTAGGATGACATCAAAGTCATCCAAGGGCAAAGCCATCAAGCTCACTTGGCCTTCCCACAGACCCACCTTCAGGCATATTTCTATCGTGCCACGCACCGGCATTAATTCAGAATTTATCACCTTTAGCTTGCTAGTATTTTCAGACAACTACAGGCCAAAATTTTCCACCTCTCTTTGGGCAACGAAATTGTGGGTAGCTCCAGTATCCACCATGGCCAGAATTTCCTTGTCATTCACCTTGGCTTGCACAAACACAAGGCCTTTGCGAGGTTGTTGAACTTTGCCCACAGTAATTGCGTTCAGCAACTGGAGAGGATGAACTCGGGTGGGACAGTCATCATCATTGTCATCCCCATTGGAGCAACAAGGGCACTCAACTCCTCCCTCTTGGGGCTGTTTTTGACACAATAGGGGCTACCATAAAGAAAACAGCCAGAATCAAAGACTTTCTTCTTCTGGCAGTTGTCTAGTTTGTTAGAGTCAGCAACGTTCTTCTTTTTATTTCGATCTGTTTTCTTTGCATCTTTGGAAGTGCGAGCCTTATCTTTCCTGCCGCCACCATACTTTTTTTTCTTATCAGAAGGGCCTTGACTGCCACCTATTTTGAATTCAACAAGGCTGTCGACCGTAGTAATGGCAGTGAGCAGATCACGTACCCCCTGCCTCTACAACTCAACCTGTGCCCAACCTTGCAGTCTGGATATTAAGTTGAAGAGTTTATTTTCCTCTCACATGTTCTTGATGTCCAGTATTAACGAACTGAACTCTTTCACGTAATCATGAACAGTTCCGATGTGCTTTAACTTTTTGAGTGAATCCCTAGCAATCCAGGTCATATTGCTAGGGAGGAATTGATCCTTCAATTCCTTTTTCAAGGTCTCCCATGTCTTGATGTTTGGACGTCCAACTACTCCATATCCCACAAGAAATTCTCCAAATCTTTGGCGCTTCAATTACCTCCGAAGGCCTTTGGTTTTACAACTTTGATTTTTGAAGACGTCTCATCCACTGTAGGTCAAGAATTCATGACCCTATTCACCAGAGAAATTTCATCTTCGAGCTCCTTTAGATTGTTTTTGACAGCATCAGTGAGGGATAGAATGTCCTCTATCGTCGTTGTAAGCTTTGCATTGGTGTTGGACACATAGCTATCAAAAGCCATATGTAAACCAGCAATCTGAATAGCATGTTGTTTCATCTGCACAGCCACACTAGTTGCAGCATCACTTTCAGGGGTGCCCAGAAAGTCTTCGAGACAGGACACACGTGCTTCCATTTCAGCAGTGTTTCCACCAGCCATGGTTGCAAACTGAAGCTCTAATACCAATTTTCACAGGGATAAATTTCTTACCAAATTTCTGCCTCGCGATGGCACTAAGATCCTACACTCAGTTTCACCCAAACATTCAATACATTCATAGAAAGGCATAGAGCAACAGAGTAGGGACAATCAAGAAAACTCACACACAACACACAAGCTTTACAACCCAGAGGCCAAACCTTTCTTTCTCAGCAAAGTATAAGGAAACTCAGTCTTGGGTCTACTTATAAAAATGTGCCCAACTCTCTTGGTTGCACTGCAAACCCAAACATGTCTATTTATAACATTCTGGGGGGGGGGGGGCCAGTTACAAGCCCAACCGCCTAGGCAACTGCATATAATTCAAATTCACCCACAAAGTATATTGAGAATGGTTGACCACCTCCAGCCACTCCTTCCATTGTTTATCATGGCAAAGGCAGTTGCAACTGGTTGCTAACCCAGTCAGCAACTGCTTGTAACTTCTTTGCATGTTGTGTGCACATGACAGGGACTGCCACATGTTGTGCACCTGCCAGCAACTGCACTAAATTGCCACAATCTGCAAGGCACATGCCCAACGTCGTCACATGTTGTGCATGTGCCTTTCTCATGAGCCCTCAGCATCTGATTGTATTGCATTGGTCCCCAGCCCATGGCTTAGTCCTCCAAGCTAGCATTGCCCCACAATTTAAGCCACTTGACTACCTTGTTTGCATGTTGACTTGTGCCCACGTGCCCATGTTCATAGACTGCCTCCCTCAGCCATGCNCATGGCCCAGCCCATGGCTTAGTCCTCCAAGCTAGCATTGCCCCACAATTCAAGCCACTTGACTACCTTGTTTGCATGTTGACTTGTGCCCACGTGCCCATGTTCATAGACTGCCTCCCTCAGCCATGCATGGGACATCTGCCAATTTGGCTAAGGTATGAGCGCCTTTGCATGAGGCTACCTTATGCCAATACCACCAACAAGCTAAGGGGGTAACAATATATTGTTATCATTTGGTGTTATATTTTTGTCAACTTCTACTTTAAGGTGGTGTTCGATAACGTTTTCGTTTTTATGTTTTTTAAAAATAAAAAAAAATAAAATTAGTTTTTTATTTTTTTTATGTGGTTAAAAGTTGAAATAGAGAATATGTTTGTTTGCCATTTTTGTTGTGAAAAATCTAAAAACTAAAACAGAATATATGTTTGGTAGTCATTTTATTTTCTGTCATATATTTTATCTCTATATTAATACTTACTAAAACACATCCACATTATTTATATCAATAATATCATAAAACGAAATGTTCCTCAACCACCCAGTCAAATACAATCAATTATATCATGGTTCAAATATGCCAGAAGAAACAATCATACTCAACAACCAAACAAAAAAAATTAAAAGAATAAGAAATTTTTATTACTCAATTCAAAAATTACAAGAATCAAATCGAAAAATAATTATTGTTAATCCTTTATCAATATAACAAATCAACATAATTTTGTTTTAAACATCCAAATCATCACAGAAATCCCCTAATCATCTAGACAACTTTTCAGCATAGACAACACCAAAAAAAAACTGTCTGTCCATTTTTATTAGAACCAAAGACTATCACCTTTTTGGTCCTTAATATTGGCAGCCTTCTCTGGCTTTGCACCAACACCCCCTTCATAGATTTTCCAATCTATCAGTCACATGATTTGTTTCCCTAAAACACGGGAGAACTGAAAACCCATCCTACTGAGCAACTGCTTGATTTGAGCAAGTAAACCCAACAAAGCCCAAGCACATTCAAATCTACCCAAAATAGAATTCACCAAAAGTAGCGAATCTGACTCAATCCATATTTGATACATTGTCAAACCATATCTGTTAATTAGCCTCAAACTCTAAACTCTGCCTCCACATTAGTGCATACACCATAATAAAATGAGGCAACTAACACCATACCTCCCCACTCATTTCCCAACACTGCACCACCACCTGTTTCATCTTGATTGCCTTTTGAAGCTCCATCCACATATAGTTTCCGCCACCCCTCTACTGGAAACCCCCAACAAAACCATACGACCTTAGTTACTATATGACAATACACTTCAACATTTAACTGTTGTAAAACAACACACCCCATACCATCATCCTGCACTTTAACTTTTACATTATGGGCCTGATACCTCAGACTACTATAGATTCTTAGAAAAATAGAATAAGAATTCAAAGCACCATCTCCAGCCACCCTTCTGCACGTTTCCTTCCATGCTTGCCAATAACTCAGCAAAGTAATTCCCCTAACTAAACCATGACACACATATTGCTTTCTAAAAATTCTGCAAATAATTGAAGGTAAAATCATCAAATAAACCACACGACGTATCAAATTATTGGTGAGTGATAACAAACAAAAAATAGTACTCTGCTTGATAAAATTATTTGAATCAAATTCAGCTTCATGTATTCCTACGCACATAGATCCATTTCAATTCATACTTCATAAATCACAATTCAAAATTCTCAAATCTCAATTCATATTTCATAAATCACAATTCATAATTTACACTCACACATACACACTAAGATGCACACACAAACATAGATGCCTACACACACATTCAGATGAACACACCCACTCACCGAGAGAGAGAGAGAGAGAGAGATTCATACCAAAGACGAGAGAAAGAAGAACCCTTAGCATATACACACACTTAGATGAACACACACACACATTCACACAGATCTAACGAAATATAACAAAATATACATAGAACTAGGACTATATATGCATATATATATATATAACAAACCCAAACTTAAAAAAAAAAAAATTCCACAGAGGGGTTAGAAAGAGAAAGAGATCGATGGAGATGGAGATGGAAAGAGTAAAAAATCTGACAAATCAATGCTTCCTCGTTGGAGCTTCCTTCTCTGGGTCGAGCGATGGAGCTTTCCTACGTTGGCTTCACAAGAGAGAGATGAAAGAGAGAAGAAAAAAAGGGTAAAAAAAAGATCTTTTTATACTTGGAACAAAAAAATACATTCTGTGCTGTTAATGCGGTTCGAAGACCAGACCTTATGAATTGGGGTTGAGAAGGGCGCATGTGTTTCTGTTTTTTCCTTTTTTTTGAAAGGACCTAAATAGATGTTTTCGAAAACAAGGGTTGTTTACAAAATAGATTGGCCAAAAAAAAAAACACGCTCAAAACATATTTTTTTGTAAAAATTACAAAAAAAGACAAAACAAAAATGGAAACAACCTGTTACGAAACGCAGCCTAAATGTTGTTTGTTTTGTTACCTTTTTCTGATGGTTTTCTAGTTCTATGTTTATGCAATAAGAGGGTTTGAACAAGAATATTTGCATATTTGTGGTCCTTTCTTTTCTTTTGAAGTTTTAAATTGGAGTATTCTTAGGTGCATTTATAAGTTTGGATAGTGCACGGGTACTTTCCTGCAATAACTTGAGATAGCAATCCGTTGGACAATGAACCTGAAATGATCAATGGATTAGGAAAGGGGCTGGGTGAACCCTTGCTCAGATTAGGAAAGGGGCCAGGTGAAACGAACAGAGGATTAGGATTTGTACAATGGCTCGCACACGTATCTATGCATAATGAGTGTTATCCCCAAGGCTTTAACTCTTCGACGCCTCCTCCATGTGCCCTTTGCACTTCATAACGGTTATAATAATCCACGTGCCAACTTACAACTATTGAGCCACCTAAAGTCCTGTCAACTGCCCCTAGCCTCCATTTTCCTCGCGTCGTGGGACAGGTGGTGCACGGAGAGTGGAGACTTCCTCAGCACGCTTAGGACTTAAGGGTGATTACCCACAAGTCTAGTGCCAGATTTTTGAATTTGCACTTGATGGTTTGGTCACCACGAATCTCCATGATTTCCCTCGACGTGGAAAACTTTATCTTCTGATGGTAAGATGAATGCACCGTCTTCATCGCATGTAACCATGTACTGCCCATAAGGGCATTATAAGGGGAATTAGAATCTATCACCATAAACTCAATCAGGATTGTGACACCTCCGGCAGTGACCATGAGGGTGACCTTTCTGAGGGGAATGGCATATTAACCGTTGAACCCTACAAGAGGGGTTTTTACGGGTTTCGAATCTCTCTGAGTGAAGCCCATTTTACGAAAGAGGTCGTCATACATCATCTCGGCTGAACTCTCCGAGTCCACCAGGATCCTCTTGACATCAAACTTCTCAACTCACGGGGTGATCACCAGTGCGTCTTCATGTGGAAAGGCCAACCCATTTAGGTCAGCATCTGAAAACTGGATGGCCTCGGCATTGAGCCAAGGTCTTTTTGATG